GGGGAAGCGCAGGGGACACTGGACAATGAGGAAGTCTGCGAGCCGCGGGCGGGCAGAGGCCGGGCAGAGGTCGGGGCGGCCCGGCCGACTGACCACAGGGGTCCCCGTCTGGAGGAAGAAGAGGGGGACACGGAGGGTCCCCCCTAGCAGGGCAGGGCGTGCAGGGTGTCCCGAACAGCCTGGAGGGGCCGGGCCAGCGGGAGCCCAGATGGTGGAGGGTCCCAGGCAGAGCCTGGCCTGGCCTGTGAGGGTTGGGGTTGGCTGGACTCCAGGCTCCGGGGGGGCGGGAGGGGGGGTTACTGAGAGTCTGTGGGCGCAGGCTTAGCTCCAAGCAGACAGTCAGGAATGGGGGGCCCCCCACGCATGGAAAAAGGGCTGATCCCTGGAGAATGGGGGGTTGGGGGGGGATGGGACGTCCTCTCTCTGGAGCTGGCCTTGGAGCAGAATCACCTTGGGACCCTGGGACCCCCTTCTGCCGCCCCCCACCCCCCTTCCCCAGGAGGGGCAGGCTTCCCAAGGGCGCATGCACCGCAAGAGCGCCTCCTGCTGCCCAGCTTGGGGAACCGGCTGGAATTCCGGAAATTCCAGATGTGTTTTTTTTTTGGGGGGGGGGGGGTCCCGACCCGGGACGGCCCGCTCAGAGCCGCCGCCAGAGGGCGCGCTGGGTCCGCGGTGCTGGGAGCGGCGGAGCGCAGCCCCGGAGCCGGGGGAGGCCGGCGGGGAGGAGGGGGAGCAGCGCCGGGCGGGGGCGGCCCCGCGGGGCGGGGCGGGCCGGGGCGGGGGCCCTCCCCCTCCTTTCTTCCCTTTTCTCCCCTCCCTCCTTCCCTCCTTCGCTCTTTCGCCCCCTTCTCGCTCCGAGGGCTGCTCGGAGCCTCCGCGGCGGCGGCCAGGGGGCGCGCTCCGCCGCCTCTTTGTTGGGGCCGAACCCGGAGCCGCGAGCGCGGGGAAGCCGCGCCGGTCCGACCCGGAGGAGCCGGGACCCCCCGGAGCATGGCCCGCCCCGGACCCCGCGCCCCCCGCCGCCCCCTCCTCCTGCTGCTGCTGCTGTGCGCGCTGGCGCCCGGCGCCCCCCGGACCTCGCCAGGTGGGTGCCCCCCGCTCGCCGCACCCCCCGCCTCCCCGGGGGTGAGGCTCCGGCCGGGGTCCTGGGCGGGGCACGGGGGGCCCTGCAGCCGCCATCGGCCTTGCCCGGGGCCGGGAAGGAGCCCCCGTTGCGCTCGGGGCGCCGGGTCCCCGCTCCCGGGGCGCAGCCGGGCGCGCGCGGCCCCCGGTCCGAGGGGCTGGACGGAGCGCCGTCTGCGCGCGGGGCACCCGGCTCCTCGGGGTGCAAAGCGGGGTGCGGGGCGCTCCGGGGGCCCCCTCCACCCTTCCCGGCCGCCCCGACTCCCCCGACCCGCCCGGGGCCCTGGGCGCGGGGTCCGGCCGCGCGCCGCCCGCACTTCCTGCCGCTCCCCGGGCTCCGGAGGCTCCGGGGGGACTCCGGGGAGCAGCCGGCGGGGGGGGGGGGGGGGGGACAGGAGCCTGGGGGGGGGGTCCCCGCTTCTGTGCTCCGGCAGCTCCTGGTCGATTGGGGCCGCGGGGACCCCGGGCGGGAGAGGGGGTACCCCAGGCTGCGGGGCTGGAGGAGACTTGAACTTGGGGGGACGGCGGGGAGGGGGGGGCGCTGGGTGAGGCCTGCTCCCGGTGCAGCGATTGAGGGGGTCCCCAATGGGGAGCGAGTGAGGGGGGTCCCCGAGGAGAGCAGCGCTGCTGCAGCCAGCTTTGTGCGCCTTGGAGAGGGGTCCCTCAGGCTTGGGGACCCCCCCCCTGTTTGTTCCTTCTCGCACCCCGCCGAGCAGGTGGGGGGAGGTCCGTGATGGGACGAGGGGACGGGTTCCAGGGGAGGGACCTGCAGGATCCCCCTGGGGCAGCAGGAATGTGGTTTCTGGGGTTTGGGGTTTGGGGGCTGGGGGGCTCCCCCGAGCCTGAACTTGAACTTGGGTCCCTGGCAGCTGCAGGAAGAATGGGGGGGGGGGGGCTGAAACCGGTGTGGCTCAGTGGATAGAGCTTCGGCCTGCGGACTGAGGGGTCCCGGGTTCGATTCCGGTCAAGGGCATGGACCTTGGTTGCGGGCACATCCCCAGTGGGGGGCGTGCAGCAGGCGGTTGGTCATATTTCTCTCTCATCGATGTTTCTAGCTCTCTATCCCTCTCCCTTCCTCTCTGTGGAAAATCAATAAAATATATATATTTTTTAAAATGGGGGGAGGGCGTCCCTGGGATCAGAGCCTCCGCCACTCCCGCTGCAGGCCCGACCCCCCTCCAGGCGTGTGCCCACCCCCCTCCTGCCCAGTGGGGGCCGGGGCATCCGCCTCCGGGGTGCCCGGGGGGCGGGGGGAGAAGGGATGGCGGGGTGACCGCCCGAGTGGCTGTTACTTTTTTCTTTTTCTTTTTTAATATATTTTATTGATTTTTTACAGAGAGGAAGGGAGAGGGATAGAGAGAAACATCGATGAGAGAGGATCATCGACCAGCTGCCTCTTGCACACCTCCCACTGGGGATGTGCCCGCAACCAAGGTCCTTGCCCTTGACCGGAATCGAACCCGGGACCCTTCAGTCCGCAGGCCGACGCTCTATCCACTGAGCCAAACCGGTTTCGGCTGGCTGTTACTTTTAATAACGGGCCAGGCTGGGCCAGGGAGATTAGGGAGTCCTTGGCGAGTCCTGCCCCTGGAGCTGCCCTGAGAGGCTGGCAGACACTCCACACCCCCCCCCCGTTCCCCCTCTTCCCTGCCCGCTCCCCCATCCAGAGGGGATGGCTGGGTCTGGGGTCCCACAGACAGGTGGCTGGGGCCCCCCCGTCCGCTCACACTCAGAGGGCATGGAGCTGGGGAGACCCTGGCTGTGCCCTGGGAATGCCACCCAGCCTGGGCACAGGTACCCCGAGGGTGCCACCTGGGCTCACATTAAAAAAAAAAATAGATATATATGTTATTGATTGTTTACAGAGAGGAAAAGAGAGGGATAGAGAGCTAGAAACATCGATGAGAGAGAAACATCGACCAGCTGCCTCCTGCACGCCCCCCACTGGGGATGTGCCCGCAACCAAGGTCCATGCCCTTGACCGGAATCGAACCCGGGACCCTTCCGTCCGCAGGCCGACGCTCTATCCACTGAGCAACACGGGCCAGGGCTTGGGCTCACTTTTAGGAAAACGTGGGACTGGGGCCCAGCCATGCCCCAACCGAGATGCGGACTCGCACACAGGAGCCCTGTGTGTATATGACTACATGACTCAGAGCCCCCCACGCACACACCTTGCTTATTGTTTCTCTCTGACATGAGCTGTGGGTCCTTCTGTTCCCGGAAAGGCCACCCGGGCGTGTGTGGATTCCTGGCTTCATGCAGGAGAGATTTTACCACGTGAGCCCAGGGGACTAGGAGGAAACGCTTACTAAAGCTGAAGACAGCTGAAACCGGTGTGGCTCAGTGGATAGCGCGCCGGCCTGCGGACTGAAGGGTCCCGGGTTCGATTCCGGTCAAGGGCATGGACCTTGGTTGCGGGCACATCCCCGGTGGAGGGTGTGCAGGAAGCAGCTGATGGATGTTTATCTCATCGACGTTTCTAACTCTATCTCCCTTTCTGTAAAAAAAACTCAATAAAATATATTTTTTTTAAAAAGAGATGAAGACAGTAAAGCGGGAAAGGGCTCAGACCCAGCCGGCCTGGCTCTCTCTGTGGTTGAGTGTTGACCTCTGAACCAGGAGGTCACGGGTTCGATTCCCAGTGAGGGCACAGGCCAGGGCTGCGGGCTCCACCCCCAGTGGGGGGGGGGCGTGTGCAGGAGGCAGCCGATCCATGATGTTCTCTCATCATGGATGTTTCTCTCTCTCTCCCCCTTTCTCTCTGAAATCAATAAACATATCCACGGAGTGGCCAGATGATGATGACTTCTGAACGCATAACAATCTGTCTGCTCAGTGTGTGTGTGTGTGTGTGTGTGTATCTATTTATCCTATATAATAAAAGCCTAATATGCAAATTTACCGAACAGCAGAATGATGATTGGTGGGACAACCAGTTGCTATGATGTGCACTGACCGACAGGGGCCAGATGCTCAACACAGGAGCTGCCCCCAGCCTGCAGGTTCCAAGCCAGCCAAGGTGGGTGCCAGCAGGGGCCACCCAATCACCTGGCCGGTCACCCCACAAATCGGTTCTAATCACTGTCCAGGCCTAGGATCCTATCCGTGCATGAAATTTGTGCATGGGCACATGAATTTGTGCCTGGGTGGGGTCCGGCCAGCCTGGCCAGGAGGAGGGGACATGGGCGGTTGGCCTGCCGGCCTGCTGGTCGAACTCCTGGTCCAGGGGACTATTTACATATGAGCCTTTTATTTATTTTTAATTTTAATGTTTTCAAATATACTTTATTGATATTTTACGGGGGAAGGGAGAGATAAAGAGCTAGAAACATCGATGAGAGAGAAACATCGGCCAGCTGCCTCCTGCACACCCCCCACTGGGGATGTGCCCGCAACCAAGGTCCATGCCCTTGACCGGAATCGAACCTGGGACCCTTCAGTCTGCAGACCGACGCTCTATCCACTGAGCCACACCAGTTTCGGCCATATGAGCCTTTTATTCTATAGGATAGACACCGAGTGGCCAGATGATCGTGCGTTCAGAGATCATCATCTGGCCACTCCGTGTATTTTAAAAAATGGTAAGAAAAGTCTTTGTATGAAGGAAGCCACGGGAGAGAGAGTCCAGGCCGGGCTGCCCCGGCTCTCGGGCAAGTCAGAAGGAAGGAGCCCTTGGGGCAGGTTTAGGAATTCGCCGGGGGACAAGCTGCCGCTGCCCGTAGCTCCCTCGATGGCCAGTCTCCTGGGGTCCCTCCGAGTTCAGGAAAGGCATGCTTGTGGGGGAGGGAGAGGGGAGAGGCCATAGTGGGGGCTGCTCTCCTGAGGGAGGGCACAGGCTGTCCTTGATCTTGAGGCTTTATCGCTTTATTTATTTATTTTTTTAATGTATGTCACATGTGTCAAACACAAGGCCCGCGGGCCAAATCCGTCCCGCCAGGCCTTGCAATGTGGCCCGCACCGCGCTGTCATCACTGCACTCCGCTGCGTTTCCATCACAATGACAGTTTATGACTGTTCAGTAAACCATTCGGCCCGCGATTTAGGCTGGATTTTAGATTTTGGCCCCTTCTCCGATTGAGTTCGACACCCAAGATGTATGTTATTTATTTATTTTTTAACAGAGAGGAAGGGAGAGGGAGAGTCAGAAACATCAATGAGAGAGAAACATCCATCAGCCGCCTCCTGCACGCCCCCCACTGGGGATGTGCCCGCAACCAAGGTCCATGCCCTTGACCGGAAATCGAACCTGGGACCCTTCAGTCCGCAGGCCGCCGCTCTATCCACTGAGCCACACTGGCTAGGGCTCTCTTTATTTTTTTTAATTTTAATTTAATTTAATTTAATTTTTAAAAATATATTTTATTGATTTTTTAAAAAAATATTTTATTGATTTTGTACAGAGAGGAAGAGAGAGAGATAGAGAGTTAGAAACATCGATGAGAGAGAGTCATCGATCAGCTGCCTCCTGCATGCTCCCCACTGGGGATGTGCCCGCAACCAAGGTCCATGCCCTTGACCGGAATCGAACCCGGGACCCTTCAGTCCGCAGGCTGGCGCTCTACCCACTGAGCCACACTGGTCAGGACACAGGCCCGGGTTGCGAGCTCGATCCCCAGTAGGGGGCGTGCAGGAAGCAGCCGATCCAGGATTCCCTGAGGGTTTAGACCCCAGGGCCCGGGCGTGCAGGGCCAGCCCTCTGGGTGCGTGCTGAGCCCTCCAGGGGCTGCCGAAGGGTAGCCGGATGGATGCGGAATTCCCCAGCTTCCCAAGGCTCCGGGTCCAGCCCAGGACTTCCTGGTCCCGTTTCCTGGAGGGGCTGATTCAGTGCCTCCGGGACAGGGACAAGAATATGTTTTGAAGGAGTTCTTCCCGGCTGACACCGGTGTGGCTCAGTGGATAGAGCGTCGGCCTGCGGACTGAAGGGGCCCGGGTTCGATTCCGGTCAAGGGCATGGACCTTGGTTGCGGGCACATCCCCAGTGGGGGCTGTGCAGGAGGCAGCTGATCGATGATTCTCGCTCATTGATGTTTCTAGCTCTTTATCTCTCTCCCTTCCTCTCTGTAAAAAATCAATAAAATATATTAAAAAAGAAAAAAAAGGAGTTCTTCCTGGAGGCATCTGGAAACCCCTGGCCCTGCTGATCTGAAAGTCAGAGGTGGGGGCAGTATGCCCAGAGCCGCACAGGAGGAACTGGCTTCTCCACTTCCTTGAAAAAATATATCCGAAAGGCGCAGCTCACGTGGCTCAGGGGTTGAGAGTGGACCTGTGAACCAGGAGGTCAGGGTTCGATTCCCGGTCAGGGCCCGTGCGAGGGTGGCAGGCTTGATCCCCAATAGGGGGCGTGCAGGAGGCATCGCATCAGTGATTCGCATCATTGATGTTTCTCTCTCTCTCCCTTCATCTCTGAAATCAATTAATATATATATATATGTTAGAGCACATGTGTCAAACACAAGGCCCGCGGGCCAAATCCGTCCCGCCAGGCCTTGCAATGTGGCCCGCACCTCGCTGTCATCACTGCACTCCGCTGCGTTTCCATCACAATGACAGTTTATGACTGTTCAGTAAACCATTCGGCCTGCGATTTAGGCTGGATTTTAGATTTTGGCCCCTTCTCTGATTGAGTTCGACACCCCTATGTTAGAGGCTCAATGCTTGTGTACCAGGAGGGTCCCTCAGCCTGGTCTGCAGAACCGGGCTGAAACCAGCTCTCTGACATCCCCCGAGGAGTCCCTGATTGTGAGAGGGTGCAGGCCAGGCCGAGAGACCCCCACTGGTGCACCATTGTTGCTGGGGAAGGTACCCGGGAGGATGGCCAGCCGGGGAGGGACCGTGGGAGGGCGCCAGGGCATGTCCGGCCAGTCTCGCTCAGTCTTGATTGGCTGGACCCCAGCAGCAAGCTAACCTACCCATGGAAGCATCTGCTCCCTGGTGGTCATTGTACATCATAGCAACAGGTCAACGGGTCGACTGTCTGCCCCCTGGTGGTCAGTGCACGTCATAGCAAGCGGTTGAGTGGCCTTAGCATATCATTAGCATATTATGCTTTCATTGGTTGAATGACCGACTGGATGACCGGACACTTAGCATATTAGCCTTTTATTATATAGGATATATACTAGAGGATCGGTGCATGAAAATTCCTTCGGCCTGGCCTGCCCCCTCTCAATCTGGGAGCCCTCAGGGGCGGGAGGCGACCTGGCGATCAGGGGAAGGCGACGCCCCCATCACACCTCTGCTGCTGCCACTGCCGGCAGCGCCAGCCTCGGCCGGCCCTGTTTACCTGAGCCTTGGGTGGCCCTGGGCGGCTGGACGGCTGCCGTCCGAGGCTGGTCTGCACCTGGGGCTGGCCCTGGGCGGCTGGGGGCACTGAGGGCAGGTCCAGCCACACCATACACCTGCCGCCTCCCGGACGGGGCTGAGAGGATTGGGCACTTCCACCTTTGTGATGGCATGATGGTCAATTTGCATATTCGCTCTTTATTCGATAAGAAACCTGAAGGCGTGGGCCTGGGCGTGGCATCTCCTCAGCAGGAGGCACTCCACTGGTGTGTCCGGGGCACTGGGCTCGAGGTCTAGCAGGTGAGATGAGAGAGAGGACAAGATTTTTTGTTTTGTTTTTCAATATATTTTCCCCCCCATTGATTTCAGAAAGGAAGGGAGAGGGAGAGAGAGAGAGAGAAACATCCATGATAAGAGAGACCATGGCCGAAACCGGTGTGGCTCAGTGGATAGAGCGTTGGCCTGCGGACTGAAGGGTCCCAAGTTCGATTCCGGTCAAGGGCATGTACCTTGGTTGCGGGCACATCCCCGGTGGGGGGTGTGCAGGAGGCAGCTGATGGATGTTTTTCTCTCATTGATGTTTCTAACTCTCTATCCCTCTCTCTTCCTCTCTGTGAAAAATCAATAAAATATATATATTAAAAAAAGAGAGAGAAAGAGAGAGACCATGGATGGGCTGCCTCCTGCACGCCCCCCACTGGGGATGGATCTAGCATCCCGGGCCTGTGCCCTGACGGGGAATCGAACCCTGACCTCCTGGTTCATAGGTCAAAGCTCCACCGCGGAGCCAGGCTGGCCTTGCTGGGCAGGGGTGGGCCTCAGGGGCCCTTTGAGCAGCACAAGGCCAGGATCGGATGGGTGCGAGGGGCAGAGAAGAAGCAGGAGATCGGTGCCCCAGTGCCCGCAGCTGGAGGCACCCAGCTGGCTGCAGGAGGCACCCTGGGGAGGGGAATCCGCCCTCCCGCCCCTGATCGCCCGGTTCTCTCCCCGCAGGGCCCAGTACCCGCCCGGAGGAGGCGGCCCCGCAGGCGGACGCGGCGCGGGACATCGTGCACCCGGTGCGCGTGGACGCGGGCGGCGCCTTCCTGTCCTTCGAGCTGTGGCCGCGCGCGCTGCGCAAACGGACCGCGGAGGCCGGGGCCGGGGCCGGCGTGGCCTTCGCCCACTACCGGCTGCGCCTCCGCGGCCAGGACCTGCGCCTGCACCTGGGCGCCGCCCCGGACCTGCTGGCGCCGGGCTTCGTGAGCGAGACGCGCCGGCGGGGCGGCCTGGGCGCCGCGCGCATCCGCCGGCCCGCGCCGCCCGCCTGCCACCTGCAGGGCCGCGTGCAGGGCGCCGCGCGCGGGGGCGGCCCCGCGGCCATCAGCGCCTGCGACGGCCTGGTGAGCGCCCGCCTCTGTCTCCGGGGCCTCGGGGGTGGCGCCTGTTAAATGGGAATGGACACGCAGGCCCCCCCCCCACCCCCCACCCCACCCCCGGCTGGTGTGGCTCAGTGGTTAGAGCGCCGGCCTCTGGACGGAAGGGTCCCCGGTTCGATCCCAGTCAAGGGCAGGTGCCCTGGGTTGCGGGCACATCCCCGGTGGGGGGTGTGCAAGAGGCAGCTGATCCATGTTTCTGAACTCTCTCTCCCTCTCCCGTCCTCTCTGTAAAATATCAATAATTATATTAAAGAGAGAGAGAGAGAGAGAGAGAGAGAACGCAGGCCCTTCTGACCAGTGTTCTCAATGGTTAGAGCGCCAGCCTCTGGACTGAAGGGTCCCTGGTTCGATTCCAGGCAGGTTTGCGGGCACATCCCTAGTGGGTAGTGTGCAGGAGGCAGGTGATGGATGTTTCTAACTCTCTATCCCTCTCCCTTCCTCTCTGTAAAAAAATCAATAAAATATATTAAAGAGAGAGAGAGAGAGAGAGAGCGCGGGCGAGCGAAAATGCGGCCCGTCTGGGGTTCTTCCCCAGGGTCTGGGTTCCCAAACTTTGCCTGGAGCTGGAATCGCCCACAGGCCGCGTTCAGACGGGGGATCCCTTAGATGAGGCCCAAGTGGGTTCCCAAACTTACATTTTTATTTTTATTTATTTATTTTTAAATATATATTTTATTGACTTTTTTACAGAGAGGAAGGGAGAGGGATAGAGAGCTAGAAACATCGATGAGAGAGAAACATCGATGAGCTGCCTCCTGCATGCCCCCCGCTGGGGATGTGCCCGCAATTAAGGTCCATGCCCTTGACCGGAATCGAGCCTGGGAGCCTTCTGCCCGCAGGCTGACCCCTCTGTCCACTGAGCCACACCAGCCGGGGCCCCTGTTATTTGGGTGTGCATCTCCCTCGGGGGATAGGACGTCCAGCTGGCCATGAGCATCGCCGGAGGAGGCCAGGGCCCTGCTGCCGGGTCAGCCTGGCTGCCTGTGTGACCTTGACCTTGACCTCCTCTCCAGAAAGGTGTGTTCCGGCTCAACGACCAGGACTACTTCATCGAGCCCCTGCGAGACGCCCAGGCCGAGCCCGGCGGCGCCCAGCCCCATGTGGTGTACCAGCGTCCGGCGTCCCAGGGGCGGGCTGAGCAGGGCAGCCCCCGCATCGGGGGCACCTGCGGGGTGCAAGGTAGGCTCCTGTGCCTCCCCCTTCGGAGCGGGGGCTGGGCGAGGGGCACCGAGGTCCTTTCTTATTTTATTTTATTTATTATTATTTTTTAAAAATATTTTATTGATTTCTTACAGAGAGGAAGAGAGAGGGATAGAGAGCTAGAAACACCGATGAGAGGGAATCATCCATCGGCTGCCTCCTGCACGCCCCCTACTGGGGATGTGCCCACAACTAAGGTCCATGTGCCCTTGACAGGAATCGAACCTGGAACCCTTCAGTCCGCAGACCGACGCTCCGTCCACTGAGCCAAACCGGTTTTGGCTAAATTTTATTTTTTAATTATTTTTTTAATATATTTCCTATTGATTTCAGGGAGGAAGGGAGAGGGAAAGCGAGATAGAAACATCAGTGGTGAGAAAGAACCATTGATTGGCTGCCTCCCGCGAGTCCCCCACTGGGGGGTCAGGCCCACAACCTGGGCATGTGCCCCTGACCGGAATCGAACCCGGGACCTTCCAGTCCGCAGGCCGACGCTCTATCCACTGAGCCACACAGGCTTCGGCCGATGTTTCTAACGTCCTGTCCCTCTCTTCTTCTCTGTAAAAAATCAAAACAAACAAACAAACAAATAAAAACTCCGGGGGAGAGGCCCCTGAGACAGGGCCCCTCTGACCGCTCCCCCGCCCTGCCCCGGGGGTGCCAGCGCCCCAGGAGCGGGCGTTCTGGCAGCGGGCGGAGGGCGGCCAGCCGAAGCGGCAGGCGAAGCGGCAGCGGCGGTTCCAGAGCTCGGACAGCAGGGAGAAGTGGGTGGAGACGCTGCTGGTGGCGGACGCCGACATGGTGCGGCACCACGGCCAGCCGCAGGTGGAGAGCTACGTGCTGACGCTCATGAACATGGTGAGCGCCGGGGCGGGGCCTCAGTGCCAGGGGCGGGGCCCTGGCGCCGGGGGCGTGGCCTGGGTGCCGGGGGGCGGGCCCGGGTGCATGGGGGCAGTGCCTGGGTGCCGGGGGGCGGGGCCAGGGTGCTGGGGGGCAGTGCCTGGGTGCCGGGGGGCGGGGCCTGGGTGCCAGGGGGCGGGCCCGGGTGCTGGTGGGCAGTGCTCGGGGGCAGGGCCATGGCTCCGGGGGCGGGGCCTGAGTGCCGTGGGGGCGGGGCCCGGGTGCCGTGGGGGCAGGGCCAGGGTGCCGGGGGCGGGGCCTGGGGGCGGGGGGGGGGGGGGCAGGCCCGGGTGCTGGGCGGCAGTGCTCGGGAGCGGGGGGCGGGGCCATGGCACCGGGGGCGGGGCCTGGGTGCCGTGGGGGCAGGGCCCGGGTGCTGGGGGGGCCAGGGTGTCTGGGGGGCGGGCCCGGGTGCTGGGGGGCAGTGCTGGGGGCGGGGCCTGGGTGCTGGGGGCGGGGCCCTGGCACCGGGGGCGGGACCTGAGTGCCGAGGGGCAGGGCCCGGGTGCCCTGGGGGCGGTGGGCCTGGGGCCAGAAGGCAGGCTGGCTGGCTTCTCAACAGGAGGAAGAGTCTGCAAGCAATGTATGTATTTATGTATTTATGTTATTATTTTCTTTTTTTTAAAATAAGTTTTTATTGTTCATATTATTACAAATGTTCCTTTCCCCCCCCCACCATTGCTCTCCTCCACCGGGTTCCCACCCCACCCTCTCCCCATTGTCCTCATCCATAGGTGCACAGTTTTTTGTTCAGTCTCTTCCCACGTCCCCCTCTCTGCTTTTCCCCAAGAATCGTCAGTTCACTCCCCTTCCATACCTCTGATTCTATTATATTCAACAGTTAATATTGTTCATCAGGTTTTTTAATTTCCTTGGTTTTTAGATTCACTTGTTGATAGCTACGTATTTGTTGTTCATAATTTTTATCTTTGTTTACTTTCTCTTCTGAAAGAACCCCCTTCAGCAATTCATATAATTCTGGTTTGGTGTTCATGAACTCCTTTAGCTTTTTTTTTTTTTTTTATTAGTGAAGCTCTTTATCTGACCTTCGATTCTGAGTGATAGCTTTGCTGGATAGAGTATTTTTGGCTGTAGGTTCTTACTATTCATCACCTTGAATATTTCTTGCCATTCCCGTCTGGCCTGCATGGTTTCTGTTGAGAAGTCAGCTGACAATCGTATAGGTGCTCCTTTATAGGTTACCTCCTTCTTTGCTCTTGCTTCTTTTAATATTCTCTCTTTGTCCTTTGCTCTTGGAATTTTAATTATGATTTGTCTTGGTGTGGTCCTCTTTGAATTCCTTTTGTTTGGAGTTCTGTGTGCTTCCTGGACTTGTAAGTCTAATTCTTTCACCAGGTGGGGGAAGTTTTCTGTCACTATTTCTTTCAGTATGTTTTCGATATCTTGCTCTCTCTTATCTTCTAGACCCCACAATTGTGATGTTGGTTCGTTTGAAGTTGTCCCAGAGGTTTCTTACATTATCTTCAATTTTCTGGATTCTCTTGCCTTCTAGCTTCGGTGGAGGAGTGTCTTCTGGCTCTTTATGTTCCAAATCTTTGACTTGATTCTTGTGATCTTCCCTTCTGTTTTTAGGACTCTGTAAAATATTTTTTATTTCAGACAATGTATTCTTTATTTCTTGTTGATCCCTTATCATTTCTTGATGGCTCCTTATTAATTCTAGTTGATCTCTTTTCATATCCTCATAGGTCTTATCCATCTTTTCTAGGAAATTCTTGAAAAACCTTATAAGCGTAGATTTGAACTCTATATCCAGACACTTTTTGTCCTCCATTTCTTTCGTTTGTGATCTATTTTGTTGTCGCATTTCGCAGTTACTTATTTTCATTTATTTATTTATTTATTTATTTATTTATTTATTTAATTTTTGCTTTAACCGTTCATTTTAATTTAAAATTCGATGGGTAAAATGGTCTATTATCCACTCTTCTGGCAGCTCTCAATTTCTTTCTTTCTTTCTTTTTTTTCTTTTTAAATATATTTTTTTGATTTTGTACAGAGAGGAAGGGAGAGAGATAGTTAGAAACATCGATGAGAGAGAGTCATCGACCAGCTGCCTCCTGCATGCCCCCCACTGAGGATGTGCCCACAACCAAGGTACATGCCCCTGACCAGAATCGAACCCAGGACCTTTCAGTCCCCAAGCCGACACTCTATCCATTGAGCCAAACTGGTTTCGGCTCGATTTCTTCTTTCTTTATTTTTTCTTTTTATTTATTTATTTATTTATTTTAAATATATTTTATTGATTTTTTTTTACAGAGAGGAGGAGAGAGGAATAGACCCCTAGCTAGAAACGTCAATGAGAGAGAAACATTGACCAGCTGCCTCCTGCACACCCCCCACGGGGATGTGCCCGCAACCAATGCACATGCCCTTGAGCAGAATCGAACCTGGAACCTTTCAGTCCGCAGACCGACACTCTACCACTGAGCCAAACCGGATTCGGCTATTTATGTTATTTTTAAATATGTTTTACTAGAGGCCCGGTGCACGGAATTCATGCACAGGGGTGTGTGTGTGTCCCTGAGCCCAGCCTGCATCCTCTCCAATCTGGGACCCCTTGAGGGATGTTCGACTGCCTGTGTAGGCCCGATCCCAGTAGGAACGGGTCCAGATGGGGCAGTCGGACATCCCCCTCATAATCCAGGACTGCTAGCTCCCAACTGCTCGGCTGCCTGCCATCCTGATTGCCCCTAACTACTTCTCTGCCTGCCAGCCAGCCTGGTCACCCCCTAATCATGCCACTGCCAGCCTGATGGATGTGTAACTGCTCCCCTGCCAGCATGTTTGCCCCTAACTGCCCTCCCTGCCAGCCTGGTCACCCCCTAACCACTCCACTGCCAGCCTGATTGATGTCTAACTGCTCCCCTGCCAGCCTGTTTGCCCCCAGCTTTCCTCCTCTGCCGGCCTGGTCACCCCTAACCCTGCCCCTGCAGCATTGATTGCCTCAAACTGCCCTCCCTTGAGGCCTGGTCCCTCCCAACTGCCCTCCCCTGCTGGCCATCTTGTCATGGCCATCTTGTGTCCACATGGGGGCAGCCATCTTTGACCACATGGGGGCAGCTATCTTGTGTATTGGATTGATGGTCAATTTGCATATTACTCTTTTATTAGATTGGATTGATTTTTTTTTACAGAGAGGAAGGGATAAGGAGAGAGTGAGAAACATCGATGAGAGAGAAACATTCATCCGCTGACTCCTGCCCGCCCCTCACTGGCGATGTGCCTGCCACCAAGGTCCATGCCCCTGACTGGAATCGAACCTGGGACACTTCATTCCGCAGGCTGGCGCTCTATCCACTGAGCAACACCGATTAGGGCTCTTTATTAGTTTTTTAAAAAAATAAATTGTTGATTTGAGAGAGGAAGGGAGAGGGAGAAAGAGAGAAACATCAATGAGAGAGAGAAGCACAGATCGGCTGCCTCCCACACGCCCCCTAAAGGGGATGGAGCCCACAACCCCGGCATGGCCCTGACTGGGGATCGAACCCTGACCTGGTTTGTAGGTCGATGCTCCACCGCGGAGCCACGTAGGCCGGGCTCAGGGAGCTTTAAATGAGCAGATGGGCCACCCTGGCTGGTGTGGCTCAGTGGATAGAGCCTCGGCCTGTGGACTCAAAGGTCCCGGGTTCAATTCCAGTCAAAGGCATGTACCTTGGTTACAGGCTCCATCCTCAGTGGGGGGCGTGCAGGAGGCAGCCGGTCCATGGTTTTCTCTCATTGTGGATGTTTCTTTTTCTCCCTCTCCCTTCCTCTCTGGAATCAATAAAAAAATCTTCTTAAATAAAGAAATAAATAGCCCTGCTCAGTGGATAGAGCGTCGGCCTGTGGACTGAAGGGTCCCGGGTTCAATTCCGGTCAAGCGCATGCACCTTGGTTGCGGGCACATCCCACTGGGGGGCGTGCAGGAGGCAGCTGATGGCTGTTTCTCTCCCATCGATGCTTCTAACTCTCTGTCCCTCACCCTTTCTCTCTATAAAAAAAAAAAAATCAATAAAATACATTTAAAAATAAATAAATAAATACATAAGCGAGCAGATGGTTCTCCGGCCCATTCTCTGTACTTCAGACCCCTCCCGGCTTTGGGGGTGACCTCTCTCCGGGGCTGTGTGGGGTGCCCCTGGTGTAGGTTGGGGCGGAGGCCCGGGGGCTGCCGGGGTGTGAACGTGGGTGGGCGGTGGGCGGTGGGCGGCGGGCGGCTGCCCGTATCCTGGATTCGGGGTGACGCTGGACCCCCTCTGTCGGGCAGGTGGCCGGCATTTTCAAGAACCCCAGCATCGGGAATCCCATCCACATCACGGTTGTGCGCCTGATTGTGCTGCAGGACGAGGTGGTGAGCAGCCGAGGGTCCCCCCAACCGGTCCCCGCTGCTCCCCGAGGAGGGGAGGGGACGCCTGGGGGAGGAAGGGGTGGTCAGGCCGCTGCTGTCCTCCTTCTGTCCCCTCTGGGCCTGTGGGTATGCTAAGGCCTGTGGGTATGCAAAAGGCTGGGGGTTTGCAAAGGCCTGTGGGTATGCAAAGGCCTGTGGGTATGCAAATGCCTGGGGGTTTGCAAAGGCCTGTGGGTATGCAAAGGGCTGAGGGTTTGCAAGGGCCTGTGGGTATGCAAAGGGCTGAGGGTTTGCAAGGGCCTGTGGGTATGCAAAGGGCTGAGGGTTTGCAAAGGCCTGTGGGTATGCAAAGGGCTGGGGGCTTGCAAAGGCCTGTGGGTATGTAAGGGCCTGGCCACACCCCCTCCATCCTCAGAGTGACATGAAGGTCCAGCACGAGGCCCACAGCACCCTGAGCACCTTCTGCGAGTGGCAGAAGCGGCTCAACATGGAGGAGGACTCCCACCCGCTGCACCACGACATGGCCGTGCTGATCACCAGGTGCTGCTCGCCGGGGCCGGGGGTCACGGTGGCGGGCCCTCAGGGAGCCCAGCCTCCTCTCTGGTGGGACTCGGGCGGATCTTTCTGTTTGGAAATAGCGGTGGGTTTGTAACCGGGGGGGGGTTTGCAATTTTATCACATGAGCCCAGCTGCCAGTCTGTTCCCAGGCAGCATTTTCTTTTCTTTCTTTTTTTTTTTTTTTTTTTTTTTTTTTTTTAATATATTTTATTGATTTTTTACAGAGAGGAAGGGAGAGAGATAAAGAGCTAGAAACGTCAATGAGAGAGAAACATCAACCAGCTGCCTCCTGCACGCCCCCCACTGGGGATGTGCCCGCAACCAAGGTCCATGCCCTTGACCGGAATCGAACCCGGGACCCTTCAGTCCGCAGGCCGACGCTCTATCCACTGAGCCACACCAGTTTCGGCTCTCTCTTTTTTTAAAAAAAAAAAAATATTTTTTTATTGATCTCAAAAAGAAAGGCAGAGGGAGATAGAAACATCCATGATGAGAGGGAATCATGGGTCGGCTGCCTCCTGCACGCCCCCCACTGGGAACCGAGCCTACAACCCAGGCCTGTGCCCTGACCGGGAGTCGAACCTGCGACCTCCTGGTTCCTAGGTCGACGCTCAACCCCTGAGCCACGCCGGCCCCAGGGGCGGGGGGCCACACTTCTAGCTCCATCCCTGGGGCCCCTGCCTGGCTCAGGGCGGCCGGCGTGGGGCCAGGCCAGCCTGAGACACGTCTGTCTGCCTGTGCAGGAAGGACCTGTGCACCTCCCGCAACCAGCCGTGCGAGACCTTGGGCCTGGCCCACGTGGGCGGCATCTGCCAGCCCCACCTCAGCTGCAGCATCACTGAGGACACCGGCCTGCCCACGGCGTACACCATGGCCCATGAGATCGGGCACAGGTACCCACCGCCCCACCGCCTCCTCCGATCGGGGGACCCCCTGGGCAGCCCGGCCACGGCTGTTCCCCTGTCCCCATCCACGCCCACAGCCAGACTGTTCCCCTGTGACACAGGAGGGGGCGCTCGGGGGCCTCGGCCTGGCCAAGAGCAGGTCTTGTTTGAGGGGCTGGGACGGGCCAGCCGTCCCCAGAGGACGCTGCCTCAGGACTTGCATTTTTAAAAAAATATATATTTTATTGATTTTGTACAGAGAGGAAGGGAGAGGGAGAGAGAGTTAGAAACATCGATGAGAGAGGATCATCGATCAGCTGCCTTTTGCACACCCCCTACTGGGGATGTGCCCGCAACCAAGCTACGTGCCCTTGACCGGAATCAAACCTGGGACCTTTCAGTCCGCAGACCGACGCTCTATCCATTGAGCTAAACCGGTTTCAGCAGGACTTGCATTTAAAAAAATATATATATTTTATTGACGGGAGAGAGACACATCCATGGGTTGAGTCCTGCATACAACCAAAGCCGGGAGGAGCCGGCATTCATTTCATTTTTATTTTACTATTTTAAAACTATATTCTATTGATTTTTTTTTTTTTTTTTACAGAGAAGAAGGGAGAGGGACAGAGAGCTAGAAACATGGATGAGAGAGAAACATCCATCAGCTGCCTCCTGCACACCCCCTACTGGGGATGTGCCTGCAACCAAGGTCCATGCCCTTGACTGGACTCGAACCCCGGACCCTTCGGTCCGCAGGCCGACGCTCTACCCACTGAGCCACACTGGCTGGGGCGGTTCTGGCTTTGGAGGGAGGTCAGGTGGCCGCGCCATGAGCTGCCCCAACAAGGGAGTTTCCCGGCTGCAGCCCCCGGGGCTGGGGGTGGGGATGGGGGGGGGGGGACTGGGACGCCGACACCTGGCGCCCCAGGAAGTGGGGTGACTCATGGGGCTGCGTGTCCGACGGGAGAGCCTGGGAGCCCCCGGCGGTGAGGTCACCGCGGCCAGGCAGCTGCTGGCGGGCGGCGGGCGCTGGCAAAGGAGGACCCTCCCCCCCCATGTGAAGAGGCAGGAAGAGGGAGGGCCGCCTGCAGCACCGGCGGGGTCAGAGGTCAGGGGCCCAGACGCAGCTGCTTCCCCGGCCGGCTGGTGTGGCTCAGTGGGTAGAGCGCCGGCCTGCGAACCGAAGGGTCCCGGGTTCGAGTCCTGGTCAGGGGCATAGACCTTGGTTGCGGGCTCCTCCCTGGCCGGGCTGACGCTCTAGCCACTGAGCCACACCAGTTTCGGCAGGGCTTGCTGGGGATCGAGCCTGCAATCTGGGCGTGTGTCCTGACTGATTTCAGGGAGGAAGGGAGAGGGAATCGATCGGTGACCTCCTGGTTCTTGGTTGATGCTCCACCACGGAGCCCTGCCGACCTGGGCTCACCCGCTTTCTTTTTTAAAATAGATTTTATTGATTTTTTTTTTTACAGAGAGGAAGGGAGAGGGATAGAGAGTTAGAAACATCGATGAGAGAGAAACATCAACCAGCTGCCCCCTGCACGCCCCACACTGGGGATGTGCCCCCAACCAATGCGCATGTCCTTGACCGGAATCGAACCCGGGACCCTTCAGTCCGCAGGCCGACGCTCTATCCACTGAGCCACACCGGTTTCGGCACACCCACTTTCTAGAGCTCAGAGAGGGACAGTGACGTCCCTGAGGCCACACAGCCGTGGGGGGCCTGAGCGGGGCCTCTGGGGAGGGAGAGAGGGTGGGGGTGGCTGGCGCCCACCGCCCGCTCACCCCACCCCTGGCGCCGTCTTCTCTGCAGCCTGGGCATCCTGCATGACGGCGCCGGAAACCAGTGCCACCCCCAGGCGCCCCAGCTCTACATCATGTCCCCGCAGCTGCTCTACAACTCCATGCCCCTCAACTGGTCCCAGTGCAGCCGTGACTACATCACCCGCTTCCTGGAGTAAGTGCCCCTCACTCCGCGCCCCCCCCCCCCGGGGCAGCGCCCGGGGCCCCGAGGCCAGGGCCTGAGCAGGAGACGGGGACAGAGGCGCTGAGGTGCCAGGCAGAGGGCCCGCCGGGGCCGTGCCCTCCTAGGACACCCGAGGGGTCCGGCCCCCGGCCCCTCCCGGAGCCGATGGGGCAGAGCAGGGTGGCCTCGTCTGTGGGCGCCCATTCCAATCCCGCCTGCAGCGTGGGGGGCAGCGGGTCACCCACGGCATCTGCCCTGCCCCCACCCCCCATGGGCGGCTGCTTACACTGGGGCGGAGGACAGAGGTGGCATGGGACGTAGGCAAAGGGTGCCAGGTGGGCAGTGCACAGGCAAGGTGGGCTGGTTGTTTGCAAAGGCCTGAGGGTGTGCAAAGGCCTGTGGGTATGCAAAGGGCTGGAGGTTTGCAAAGGCCTGTGGGTATGCAAAGGCCTGAGGGTGTGCAAAGGCCTGTGGGTATGCAAAGGCCTGTGGGTGTGCAAAGGCCTATGGGTGTGCAAAGGCCTGTGGGTATGCAAAGGCCTGTGGGTATGCAAAGGCCTGAGGGTGTGCACCCACGGGAAGAGAAGCAGCAGGGTCACGGGTCCTGGAAGAGGCAGGAGGAGGGAGAAATAATTCCCTCCCTGGACTCTGGCCCCGGCCCCTGCCCGCTGGGTCAGACCAGCCGCGTCCCGTCCCCCTGGGGCCTGAGCGCCCGGAGGATGGGGGCTGTGGGTCTGGGTTTCACATGGGGCCACCGGGCCCGCCACATGCTTAGCATTCAAGGCGGGGTCCGTGCCATCCCAGCGAAAGGCCAGCGCTGATAAGGGACGGGGTTAGGGAGCGGGCCAGCCCGGCACGGAGGGCAAAGCTGAACAGCCGGCGCCAGGGGCACGTGTCTCCCCCCCCCCCCCCAAACCCCCCACCATGGGGGCCAGAATGAGCTGGAGACTCCCACCGTGCCCCGGGGCCAGCTCCCAGCTGCCTCCACCCAGGGCGCTGCCCAGCACACTGGCTCCTGGACAGACGGACGGACAGACCGGCCTCTGTGTTCGTCAGGGACGGGAATGCACCGGGCACTTGGCTCGGGGCCTGGCCGGGGGAGGGGGAGGGGGAGGAGAGGGTGACGGCAGGGCCACCCGGCCTCTCAGAGCCTCGGCTTGCGGGGGTGGAGACATGGACCAGGGGAGGGGGCCTAGCCGCCTCGCCATCCGGATGGTCCGTCCGGGGGGGCATCCCAAAGGCCAGCCTGTCCCCAAACCCCTCTGTCTTTTATTTTATTATTATTTTTTAAATATATACTTTATTGATTTTTTTTTACAGAGAGGAAGGGAGAGTTAGAAGCATCAATGGGAGAGAGACATCGATCAGCTGCCTCCTGCGCACCCCTCCCACTGGGGATGTGCCCGCAACCAAGGTACATGCCCTTGACCGGAATCGACACTCTATCCATTGAGCCAAACCAGTTCCGGCTTATTTTATTTTTTAAATATATTTTTATTGATTTCAGAGAGAGAGAGAGAGAGAGAAACATCCCTGATGAGAGGGAATCCTGGATCGGCTGCCCCTGCACGCACACCCTGCTACTGGGGACCAAGCCCCAAACCCGGGCACGTGGCCTTGACCGGGAATGGAACCCCGGACCCTTCAGTCTGCAGGCCGACGCCCTATCCACTGAGCCACACTGCCCGGGGCCCTCTGTCTTTCTTGGGGTTGTTCATCCTGGCCCGAGGACATTTTCCAACTGATTTTTAGAGAGTGTGGAGACAGAGAGAGAGGGAGAGAAACATCGACGGGAGAGAGACACTCCAATGCGATGCCTCCCACTGGCCCCCGATGGAGCCTGCAACCGGAGTTTGAACCCGGGACCCTTTTGTCCAAGGACTGATGACGCTCCAGCCACGGAGCCATGCCCTGGGTGTGGGTATGCAAAGGCTGGGAGCCTTCAAAGAGCCAGAGGGGCCGAAGCCGGTGTGGCTCAATGGATAGAGCATTGGTCTGCGGACTGAAGGCTCCCGGGTTCGATTCCGGTCAAGGGCATGTATCTTGGTTGCGGGCACATCCCCAGTGGGGGGTGTGCAGGAGGCAGCTGATGGATGGTTCTCTCTCATCGATGTTTCTCACTCTATCCCTTTCTCTTCCTCTCTGTAAAAAATTAATATATATATATATATATATATATATATATTTATAAAAAGGGGGGTGGCAATAAAAATTCTATATAATATATAGGCCTAACAGGCTAAGTGCCCAGTCGTCCGTTCAACCAATCAAAGCGCAATATGCTAATGAGATGCTAAGGTCACTCAGCCGCTTGCAATGACGTGCACTGACCACCAGGGGCAGAGGGAGGGGATGGGAGACACAGGACCCGCCTCCCCCCAGTCAGGGTGGGGCCGGAAGGAGCAAGCTTCAGTGCAGGTGCCTCGGGCCATGTTCCCGGTCTTGGGGAGTCTGTCTCTGAGGTCCTGGGACCCCCCCAGCTGTGCCCACTGGGCTCTGCTCGGCCACCCAGACCCAGACCTCAGAGTCACTCTCCTGCAGGCCCTGTGCTCAGGGGACAGATTGGGGAGCCCCTGGGGGATGAACAGGTGACAGTTGGGGGGGTTAGTACCGTAGCCGATGGCCCCAGGGGGTGTAGCAATTTGGGAAGGGGGGCGCCGAGGACCCTGAACGCCGCCTCTCAAGACTCCTGGCCCCCGGCCGGCGTGACTCCGTGGCTGAGCGTTGACCTAGGAACCAGGAGGTCAGGGTTCGATTCCCGTCAGAGCACAGGCCCGGGTTGTGGGCTCCATCCCCAGTGGGGGGCGTGAGGGGGCAGCTGATCCATGATTCTCTTTCATCATGGATGTTTTTCTCTCTCTCCCTCGTCCTCTCCCTTCCTCCCTGAAAAAAAAAAAAAAGACTCCTGGGGCCCTCGCTGGTGTGATTCAGTGGAGAAGAGTCAACCTGTGCATCGAAGGGTCCTGGGTTCGATTCCCGTCAAGGGCACTTGCCTGGGTCGCAGGCTCCTCCCCAACCTTGGGCCTGGTCTGGGTCTCTCTCCCATCGATGTTTCTCTCTGTCTCTCCCTCTCCCTTCCACTCTCTCTGAAATCAGTGGGGCCGAAACCAGTGTGGCTCAGTGGATAGAGCGTCGGCCTGCGGACTGAAGGGTCCCGGGTTTGATTCTGGTCAAGGGCATGTATGTGCCTTGGTTGCGGGCACATCCCTGGTGGAGGGTATGCAAGAGGCAGCTGGTCGATGTTTCTCTCTCATCGATGTTTCTAGCTCTCTGTCCCTCTCTCTTCCTCTCTGTAAAAAAAAAAAAAAATCCATAAAATATATATTTAAAAAAAAGAATATAGGCTTTGAATCAACAGACAAAAAACTTAAAAAATAAAATAAAATAAATAAAATCAGTGGGGAAATATCCCCGGGGCAGGATTAAAACAGAAACAAAAATAAAAATGAAGCCTCTGGGGTGTCCGGCAGAAGAGGGTGCTCTGGGTGGAGGGGTGGTGGGGCCGGGGGTGGGAGGAGGAGACGGGGAGGAGGCGGCTTCTCAGGGGCATCGGAGAGCCGTCCCAAGTGCATGTTTCCTCCTCCGCTGCATCCCTTGACCATGACCATGACCATGACCATGACCCCAAAACTGGTGCTGGAGGGCAGGCGGGGTGGGGGGGGCATCGAGGTGGGGGGTGAGGTCTGTCCTCAGAGGTTGGGCAGCTCTGTATCCCGCTGAGGGTAGGAGCCGCGCCCTGTGTGCTTGGTCTCCATGTGGGGCCAGCAGCCCGGCTCTAACAGGATTGAGGGGGGGCCCGGGGCTGGGCTGAGGGACGGTCCCAGGACCTCGGGGTGTGTGTGTGTGTGTGTGTGTGTGGCCACGTGAGGCGCCGGCCTGGCCCGGAGCCCGTCGAGGAAGGAAGGGCCGGCTGCTGCCGGTGTGACTCCCCCAAGTGGCTGCTGCTATTTATACCCCGGTGGTGTGAGGTCACCGGGCGGCCCCAGCGGGAGGGGGGCCGCCCGCTGAGGCCACACAGCAGCTGTAGCCGGGCGCAACAGGGCAATTCCGTGTTTATTTACGAGAGGCCTGGTGCATGGCATCATGGCACCGTGTGTGTGTGTGTGTGTGTGTGTGTGTGTGTGTGCGTGTGTGTGTGGGGGGGCAGCCCTCAGCCCAGCCTGCGCCCTCTCACAGTCCGGGACCCCTCGGGCCTAAGCCGGCAGCCGGACATCCCCGAGGAGTCCTTCGCGCTGCCAGGGAGGCGGAGGTGGGACAGGCTGGCTGCACCAGTCAGCTGTGAGCCCAGCTTCTGGCTGAGCCGTGCTCCTCCCGTGGCAGCGCACTGACCACCAGGGGAGCGGCTCCGGCGTTGAGCGTCTGCCCCCTGGTGGTCAATGTGTGTCATAGCGACCAGTCATTCTAGTTGCATATTAGCCTTTTATTACATATATGGGGTGTATGAATGTGTTTATTTTTTTAAATTATTTCTTTATTTGTAAATATATCTTATTCGTTTTATACAGAGAGGAAGGGAGAGAGAGAGCGCCAGAAACATCGATGAGAGAGAACCACCGATCAGCTGCCTCCTGCACACCCCCCACTGGAAATGTGCCCGCGACCAAGGTCCGTGCCCTTGACCGGAATCGAACCCGGGACCCTTCAGTCCACAGGCCGACGCTCTATCCACTGGGCCGCACCGGTTTCGGCCGGAACTTCTGTTTGGGGTGCAGTGTTTGAGGCCAGGGTGACGGTGGGACGGGGGACAGCTGCCTCGAGAGCCGACACACAGGGGCACCAGCAGCCTGGGCCTGAGGTCACAGCCTGACCTTTCCTCCCCCCCGTCTCCTTGTGCCCCGGGCCCGCCTGGCTCCCCGGAGGCTTAGATCTCCCCCCATCTGGGCCACCAGGGCCATCAGCTGTGATGGGAGCTCTGGGGGTCCCTCTGTGCCCTGGGCCGGCGGAGGGAGGCCTCAGGGGGGCCTCAGGGACTGGGGCAGGGCCACCTGGGGGCTTAGCTGTGCAGAGGTTTGGGGGTGGGGAGGGCTGGATCCGGGTGAGGGGAGTGAGAAGGGCATTGCAGAAGCCTGGTGCTGGGCGGGGGCGGGGTGGGGTGGGGTGGACCGTTGGCCAGAAGATGCGTGGGCCCTGACCGGTGTTGCTCAGTGGGTAGAGCGTCGGACTGCAGACTGAAGGGGTCCCGGGTTCGATTCCGGTCAAGGGCATGGACCTTGGTTGCAGGCACATCCCCAGTGGGGGGGGGGGGTGCAAGAGGCAGCTGATGGATGTTTCTCTCTTATTAATGTTTCTAACTCTCTGTTCCTCTCTATAAAAAAATCAATAAAAAAATTTAAAAATATATATATTTTATTGATTTTGTACAGAGAAAAAGGGAGAGAGATAGAGAATTAGAAACATCGATGAGAGAGAGTCATCGATCAGCTGCCTCTTGCACACCCCCTACTGGGGATGTGCCCGCAACCAAGGTACGTGCCCTTGACCGGAATCGAACCCGGGACCTTTCAGTCCGCAGGCCGACGCTCTATCCACTGAGCCGAACCGGTTTCGGCGAAATCAATAAAATATTAAAAGAAAGAAGAGGATGCATGGGTCAGGCTGTCCGGCCCTCATCCGTCCTGCCCGGCGCCCTGCGAGGCCTCCCCCGCCGGCCCCCCATCCCCCGTCTTTCCGTCTCCGCAGCCGTGGCTTCGGCGCGTGCCTGGACGACCCGCCGGCCCAGGACGTCATCCCGCAGCCCGCCCTGCTGCCCGGGGCCCTGTACGACCTGAACCACCAGTGCCGGCTGCAGTACGGGGACGGCTCCGCCCACTGCAGCGACCTGGGTGTGAGTGCGGGACACACACACACACACACACACACTCACCTCCTGGTGCGGGCGCCCGGGGCCAGCCGGCCCGCCCGGCCGCCTGCTGGGAGGCCGGGTGAGGTCTCAGTGGTCAGAAATCCTGTTTGCCCCCAACTGCCCTCCCCTGCTGGCCTGATCGCCCCCAACTGCCCTCCCCTACAGGCCTGGTCGCCCCTAACTGCCCTCCCCTGCTGGCCTGATCGCCCCCAACTGCCCTCCCCTGCAGGCCTGGTCGCCCCCAACTGCCCTCCCCTGCAGGCCTGGTCGCCCCCAACTGTCCTCCCCTGCTGGCCTGGTCACCCCCAACTGCCCTCCCCTGCAGGCCTGATCATCCTTAACTGCCCTCCCCTGCAGGCCTGGTCACCCCTAACTGCCCTCCACTGCAGGCCTAGTCGCCCCTAACTGCCCTCCCCTGCAGGCCTGGTCATCCTTAACTGCCCTCCCTTGCGGGCCTGGTCACCCCTAACTGCCCTCCCCTGTAGGCTTGATCACCCCCAAATGCCCTCCCTTGTAGGCCTGGTGCCTCCCAGCTGCCCTCCCCTGCAGGCCTGGGTGCCCCTAACTGCCCTCCATTGCAGGCCTGGTCGCCCCTAACTGCCCTCCCCTGCAGGCCTGGTCATCCCTAAGTGCCCTCCTCTGCGGGCCATCTTGTGTCCACATGGGGGCAGGCTCTTTGACCACATGGGGGCAGCCATCTTTGTGTGTTGGAGTGACAGTCCATCTGCATATTACTCTTTTATTAGATAGGATTGATTTCAGAGAAGGAGGGAGGGAGAAGGAGAGAAAGAGAAACATCAAGGATGAGAATCACGGATCAGCTGCCTCCGGCACGCCCCACCCTGGGATCCAGCCATGGCCTCTGGGTTCCCAGCTCGAGGTTATTCTACTTATTTTTTTTTAACCCTCCCCTGAGGCTGTTTTCCCAGTGGTTTTTAGAGGGAGAGGGAGGGAGAGGGAGAGGGAGAGGGGGAGGGGGAGGGAGAAGGAGAGGGAGAAGGAGGGAGAGGGAGAGAGAGAGAAGGGAAGGGGGAGGGGGAGAGGGAGAGGGAGAGGGAGAGGAACATCGATGGGAGAGAGACACATCGATGGTGAACCTCAGAGGTGACACAGCATCTAAGCTTCCGAGAAGGCAGAGGGTCCCATTGGTTTAGCCCTGCCAGGCGCCAGCCCCTGGGGGGACTCGGGGGACACGGTGTGGGGGGACCTGGGAGGGGCTCAGCTGTGGCCCTCCCCCCTCCGGCAGGACCCCTGCGGTGTGCTCTGGTGCTCCGAGCTCCTCAGCTGTCACACCAAGAAGGACCCGGTGGTGGACGGCACGCCCTGCGGGGACCAGAAGGTAGGGCGCCCGGTCCCGCTGTGCAGGGGGGCGGGAGGGGGGGCGGGAGAGACCTGACCACCTGCTGTGTCCGTGCTGGGGGGCGGGTGTCAGCCCCGGTCCGCAGACCCTGGCCCCCACCTCCAGCCCTGGCCCAGCCCGGCCCGGGGTGCAGGATGGAGACCCGTGGGGGCTTGCCTCTGCTGGATTGTCTGCTTCGCTCCCGGTGGACAATCCCTGGGAGGGACCTCCCCCACTCCTTAGAGACCCCCCCATCCCCCGTTTTTTAAAATTGATTTCAGCCCTGGCCAGTGTGGCTCAGTGGATAGAGCATCGGCCAGATTTGATTCCGGTCAAGGGCATGTGCCTTGGTTGCAGGCACATCCCCTGTGGGGGGCGTGCAGGGGGCAGCTGATCGATGTTTCTAACTCTATTCCTCTCCCTTCCTCTCTGTAAAAAAAAAAAAATCAATAAACTATATCATATCTATCTATCTATCTATCTATCTATAATTGATTTACAGAGAGGAAGGGAGGAGAGGGATAGAGTTAGAAACATGGATCAGCTGCTTCCTGCACGCCCCCTACCTGGGATGGGGGCAACCAAGGCACATGCCCTTGACCGGAATCGAACCTGGACTAATGAGTTTGCTGACCACTGGGTTAAGGCAATAAAAAAAAAAAAAAAAATATATATATATATATATATATATATATATATATATATATATACACACACACACACACACACACATATATATTTTATTGATTTTTTAGAGAGGAAGGGAGAGGGATAGAGAGTTAGAATCATTGATGAGAGAGAAACATCTATCAGCTGCCTCCTGCACACCCCCACTGGGGATGGGCCCGCACCAAGGCACATGCCCTTGACCGGAATCGAATCCGGGACCTTTCAGTCCGCAGACCGACGCTCTATCCACTGAGCCAAACCGGTTTCGGCAATAAAATATATATTATTTAAAAATTGATTGTAGAGAGGAAGGGAGAGAGAGAGAGAAACATCCATGATGAGAGAGAATCACGGATCGGCTGCCTCCTGCCCACCCCACACTGGGGATGGAGCCCGCAACCCAGGCCTGTGCCCTGACCGGGAATCGAACCCTGACCTCCTGGTTCAAGGTCGACGCTCACCACTGAGCCACACCGGCTGGGCTGGCTTCTCCTCCTCGGCCCCTCTCCAGGCCTCCCGAGGGGGAGCGGGAGGACAGGGCGGGCGGCGGCCTGACCCCCGTGTGTCCCCGCAGTGGTGCCTGGGCGGGCAGTGCGTGTCGGCGGACCTGCAGCCCCAGGTGGTGGACGGCGGCTGGTCGGGCTGGACCGCCTGGTCCGCCTGCTCGCGGAGCTGCGGGGCGGGCGTGCAGAGCTCGGAGAGGCAGTGCACCGAGCCCGCGTGAGTGTGGGGGCCCGGCCTGGGGCGGGGGGCATGGGGCGGGGGGTGGGGGGGAGGGGGAAGGGTCCGGGGCCTGGGGCGGGCGGGATGGGGGGGGGAGGGGAAGGGTCCCGGGCCTGGGGTGGGGGGCATGGGGCGGGGGGCGGAGGGGAGGGGGAAGGGTCCCTGGCCTGGGGTGGGGGGCATGAGGCGGGGGGTGGAGGGCAGGGGGAAGGGTCCGGGCCATGGGCGGGGGATGGGGCGGGGGGGGGAGGGGGGGAGGGTCCCGGGCCCTGGGGTGGGGGCATGGGGCTGGGGGGGGGGGGGGGGCGGGAGGGGAGGGGGAGGGTCCCGGGCCTGGGGCAGGGGGGGTATGGGGGCGGGGGTGGGCGGAGGGGAGGGGGGAAGGGGTCCAGGGCCTGGGGCAGGGGATGGGGTGGGGGGTGGACGTGGGGAGGGGAAGGGTCCCGGGCCTGGGGCGGGGGGCATGGGGCGGGGGGATGGGGTGGGCGATGGAGGGGAGGGGAAAGGGTCCCTGGCCTGGGGCAGGCGGGATGGGGCGGGCGGGATGGGGCGGGGGTGTTGAGGGCAGGGGGAAGGGTCCCGGGCCTGGGGCCGGGGGGTGGGCCGGGAGGGGGGACCGAGCCTCCAGTGGTCAGCAGTGTCCCCCCCCCCAACAGGGCCCAAAGCCAGAATTTCCAGCCACTGTCCTCGGGTCACGGGGGGGGGGGGGGGGGGGGGGCGTGTCCCCACTGCTGGCCCATTGCTCAGACGGGCAGACTGAGGCCCGGAGACCAGCAGGCAGGAGAGGACAGTGCTCAAGCCCTTAGACGCGGGCTTTAGATGGGTCAGGAGTCCCCCCCACACCCCCTTCCGGTGGGAGAGCCTGCTCACCCCTCCTCCGGACCCCATTTCCAGAGAAGCTGCTGATGGGGTTCCAGCACTGCCCCCCCCGCCCCGGGAGGGGGGACCCTGAGACCCCGCACGAGACTGCCTGTCCCCGGGCCTGTTTTCCATCGGAGGGAGGGGTGAGGGGGGCCCTCCTCACTAGGATTCTAGGGGTATTGGGGGGGGGACAGGCAGTCTATATATCTATATCTATATCTATATCTATATCTATATCTATATCATCTATATCTATATATATTAGAGGTCTGGTGCATGCATTCGTGCATGGGTGGGGTCCGGCCAGCCTGGCCAGGGGGAGGGGACATGGGCGGTTGGCCGGCCTGCCTGCCGGTCGAATTCCTGGTCGCGGGGACCGTTTGCATATTAGCCTTTTATTCTATAGGACAGACACTGAGTGGCTGGATGATTGTGCGTTCAGAGATCATCATCATCTGGCCAGTCCGTGTGTATTTTTATTGATTTCAGAGAGGAAAGGAGAGAGAGATAGAAACATCCATGATGAGAAAGAATCATGGACTGGCTGCCTCCTGCATGCCCCCTACTGGGGATCAAGCCCGCAACCTGGACATATGCCCTGATTGGGAATCAAACCCCGGACCGTTAAGTCCGAAGGCCAACACTTAAGCACTGAGCCAAATCTGCTAATGCAAAAATATCAATATAGTTTATTGCTTTTTTATAGAAAGGATGGGAGAGGAACAGAGAGCTAGAAACATCGATGAGAGAGAATCATCGATCAGCTGCCTCCTGCACACCCCCCACTGGGGATGTGCCTGCAACCCAGTACATGCCTTTGACCAGAATCGAACCCGGGACCCTTCACCGCAGACCGACAGACACTCTGTCCACTGAGCAACACTGGCTACAGTCTGGCCTCTTCATCCTTTTATTTTTAAATATAATTTTATTGATTTTTTTTTTTTTTTTTTTTTTTTTTTTTTTTTTTTTACAAAAAGGGAGAGGGATAGAAACATCGATGAAAGAGAATCATCGATCAGCTGCCTCCTGCACGCCCCCCGCTGGGGATGTGCACGCAACCCAGTACATGCCCTTGCCCGGAATCGAACCCAGGACCCTTCAGTTCCCAGGCTGAGCTCTATCCACTGGGCCACACCGCTAGGGTCCCAGCCCCACACTATAGAGGAGGAAGCGGCCCAGAGAGGGCAGGGGCCTCCCGGGGGTCACACAGCGGCGGGGGCCGGCAGGGTCGGGGTGCACGGTGGGCGGCAGGGTCTGGGGTGCGGGTGCTGAGCCCGGCCGGCCTCCCCCGCAGGCCCAAGAACAGGGGCCGGTTCTGCGTGGGCGAGCGGCGGCGCGTGCGGCTCTGCAACGTGCAGGGCTGCGCGCCGGGCAGCCCCTCCTTCCGCGCCGTCCAGTGCGGCCAGTTCGACGCCACGCCCTACCGCGGCCGGCTGTACAAGTGGGTGCCGCAGCCGACTGACCGTGAGTCTGCCCGCACCCCGGCTGCTCCCCCTACACCCCCACCCCCCATGCACCGGGGTGCTCCCCCTCCCCCCGGCCACTGGGGTGCTCCCCCAGCCCTCCCCCCGCCACTGGGGTGCTCCCCCTCCCTCCCCCCGCCAGTGGGGTGCTCCCCCTCCCTCCCCCTGCCAGTGAGGTGCTCCCTCCCCCTCCCCCCCCCCGCTAGTGGGGTGCTCCCCCAGCCCTCCCCCCGCCACTGGGGTGCTCCCCCAGCCCTCCCCCCGCCACTGGGGTGCTCCCCCTCCCTCCCCCCACCAGTGGGGTGCTCCCCCACCCTCCCCCCGGCAGTGAGGTGCTCCCCCCCCTCCCTCCCCCCGCCAGTGGGGTGCTCCCCCCTCCCCCCACCAGTGGGGTGCTCCCCCAGCCCCTCTGGATGGCAGGAGGGCGGCCTGTGGGTGCCCCCAGTGTGGGTGGTGGAGGGCGGCTCCGGGCCCCAGGACGCCTGCCGGGCCCTCACGGCTCCCGCCCTTGCGCCCCAGAGGCCCCCTGCGAGCTGCACTGCAAGCCGGAGGGCGAGTCCTTCAGCGACCGCTTCCGGGACGCCGTGCTGGACGGCACGCCCTGCTACGAGGGCCGCCGGGGCAACAGGGACGTCTGCATCGACGGCATCTGCCAGGTGCGCCCCCTGGGGGCGCCCAACCCGCCCGCTCCACCCCTATAGGGGGGGCCTCTCTCACCCGCCCGCCCCATCCCCTGGGGGCCTCCCTCACCCGCCCCGCCCCCTGGGGGCCTCCCTCACCCGCCCCGCCCCACCCCTATAGGGGGGGGGCTCCCTTACCCGCCCCGCCCCCTGGGAGGGGCGTCACTACAGGCCCCGCCCCCTGGGACGGTCCCTATCATAGGCCCCCATGGCCTACGAGAGTCTTTAAACCATGTCCCCGGGAGGTGTCCCACCACAGGCCCCGCCCCTGGGAGAGTCTTTATTCTAGGCCCCGCCCCCGGGAGGTGTCTCACCACAGGCCCCGCCCCTGGGAGGTGTCCCACCACAGGCCCCGCCCCTGGGAGAGTCTTTATTCTAGGCCCCGCCCCCGGGAGGTGTCTCACCACAGGCCCCGCCCCTGGGAGAGTCTTTATTCTAGGCCCCGCCCCTGGGAGAGTCTTTATTCTAGGCCCCGCCCCCGGGAGGTGTCTCACCACAGGCCCCGCCCCTGGGAGGTGTCTCACCACAGGCCCCGCCCCTGGGAGAGTCTTTATTCTAGGCCCCGCCCCAGGGAGGTGTCCCACCACAGGCCCCGCCCCCGGGGGGTTCTTTACTCTAGGCCCCGCCCCCGGGAGGTGCCCCTCCACAGGCCCCGCCCCTGGCGGACCTCCTTTCTCTGCCGCCTGCCCCGCCCACAGCAGCCTCCTCTGAGCTCCTCTCCAAGCTGCGCGTTTCCGTTTCCGGTTCTGCCCTGACACCTTGGATGCAGCCTCCCCACCTCAAACCCTCCCAACCCGTCACCTCTCAGCAGAGGCCCCCACTCCTCCTGACTGACACCTTCACCACCTCCGCTTCCGTTTCTCGGCCCCCTCGCCCCCTGGGGGCTTCTCTTCCTGGAACCGCCAGGAACCGGGAGCCCAGGCTCGACCTCCGCTCAGCCACTGTCTTCTTTTTTTAAATATATTTATTGATGAGAGAGAAACATCCATCAGCTGCCTCCTGCACACCCTCTACTGGGGGGATGTGCCCGCAACCAAGATCCATGCCCTTGACCAGAATCGAACCCGGGACCCTTCAGTCCGCAGGCTGATGCTCTATCCACTGAGCCACACCAGCTAGGGCCCAGCCGCTGTCTTGCTGCTGCTCTTTCTGAGGCCTGAGGCCTGGGCTCTGAGGCGGAGAGCAGCAGGGGGTGCGAACCCCGGGGCCTGTGACCCCGATTCCTGTCCACACGGATCACCCACGGAGGGCCAGCCCCCCTGCCCCCCTGCACCTCCCCACTCCCTGCCCCACCTCTCCTCTCCTGCCGCCCTGGTGCACGTGGGGGGAGACCAGGGCAGAGGAGTCGCCTTGGGGTCCCCGCCCAAGCCCCCCGCCCGCCCTCAGCAGCCCCGGGGCCTCCCCTCTGTCTTGCAGAACGTGGGCTGCGACTTTCAGATAAACTCTGGCGCCGTGGAGGACCGCTGCGGCGTGTGCAGGGGCAACGGCTCCACCTGCCACACCGTGAGCTGGGTCTTCCAGGAGCACGCGCCCCTCGGTATGGCCGCGCCCGCGCCCCGCCCCCTCCGCCGGCTGTGTGCGTGGCCCGCGAGCCACGCAGATGGGACGCTCGGCCCAGACCCAATGAGTGACCCGTCCCCCCGGGGCGTCCGGCCTCCGGCCCCTGGACAGGAGCCCGGGGTGGACGCTCAGGCTCCCGCGGGAGCTCCCCGCCCGCTCCCGGGTCCCTGCCCTGCCAGGCAGCCGCAGGGACGCCCCCAGCCCCACGCCCTCCGCTCCGGGGCGGTGTCCGCAGACAGTCAGGGGTGACCGTGTGCACCCCGCTGAGGTACGGAGGGGGCCGTGGCCGAGAAGGGCTGCCTGTGGGATCGGGTAAACGGGCCCGGTTAGCCCTCGCCGGTGGGTGCGGCGGAGGGAGGCCCAGAGGGCTGGGGAGCAGCGAGGGAGGGAGTCTCCGGCCTGGGGGAGGTCAGGGAAGGCTCCCTGGAGGAGGGGGCAGGGGAGCGGGATCAGAAAGAGAAAAGAATTGAAAGAGAGATTCAGGTGGAGCTTGTGCCACACACACACAGACACACGCACCGACACACACACAGAGACACACACACACGCGCACGCACGTGCGCACAGAGACACGCGCACAGAGACACGCACAGACACACACAGACACAGACACACACAGACACACGCACAGAGAAACACACACAGAGAGACACACACACACGCACAGACACACGCACAGACACAGACACACACAGACACACGAACAGAGACACACTCACACACATACGCGCACACACATGGCGTGGAGGAAGGAAGGCCCGCAGTTGGGGCCGGCGAGGGAGGCAGGGTTCGGTCAGATCCCCAAGAAGCTGCCCTCAGACCCCACGGCCTGATGGGAGCACAGCCCTCAGACCCCACGGCCCAATGGGAGCACAGCCCTCAGACCCCACTGCCTGATGGGAGCACAGCCCTCAGACCCCACTGCCTGATGGGAGCACAGCCCTCAGACCCCACGGCCCAATGGGAGCACAGCCCTCAGACCCCACTGCCTAATGGGAGCACAGCCCCTGGATCCACGGCCCGATGGGAGCACAGCCCCTGGACCCCACGGCCCGATGGGAGCACAGCCCTCAGACCCCACTGCCTGATGGGAGCACAGCCCTCAGACCCCACGGCCCGATGGGAGCACAGCCCTCAGACCCCACTGCCTGATGGGAGCACAGCCCCTGGATCCCACGGCCTGATGGGAGCACAGCCCTCAGACCCCACTGCCTGATGGGAGCACAGCCCTCAGACCCCACTGCCTGATGGGAGCACAGCCCCTGGATCCCACGGCCCAATGGGAGCACAGCCCTCAGACCCCACTGCCTGATGGGAGCACAGCCCTCAGACCCCACTGCCTGATGGGAGCACAGCCCTCGGAGCCCTTCCCCCTGCCTCACCGCTCGGTGCCCTCACATCCCCACCCCCTGTGACACGGGGTCACAGCAGAGCCTGCGGCACACGGCTGTGGCCCGGGCACAGCGCCCAGAGCCGTCCCAGACGGGATGGATGGCGGGAAGCAGGAGGACGGAGTAGGGCTGTTTGTTTATTTGCCAGCGGCCTGGTGCGTGAAATCGCGCACGATAGCGTCCCTGGGCCTGGCTGGTGATCCGGGCGATCAGGAGGGGGCGGGTGGGGGGCGCCCATTGGCACCCGCCTTGGCCAGCCTGGGGCCTGCAGGCTGGGGGCAGCTCCTGCACTGAGCGTCTGCCCCCTGGTGGTCAGTGCGCATCATGGCGACAGGTGGCTCCCCTGTTGGGTCGATTTGCATATTAGACTTTTATTATATAGGATTTAATTTTTTTTTTCTTAAAGAAGTTTCATTCCTTTTGTCAAATACCAAATAAGGGATGCTTTTTATTTATTTTTAAAATATTTCATTGATTTTTCACAGAGAGGAAGAGAGAGGGATAGAGAGTCAGAAACATCGATGAGAGAGAAACATCGACCAGCTGCCTCTTGCACACCCCCTACTGGGGATGTGCTCGCAACCAAGGTACATGCCCCTGACCGGAATCAAACCCGGGACCTTTCAGTCCGCAGCCTGACGCTATATCCACTGAGCCACACCAGCCTCGGCTAAACTTTTACTTTTCAAATATATTTTGTATTGCTTTCAGAGAGGAAGGGAGAGGGAGAGAGGTAGAAACATCCATGATGAGAGAGAATCACAGACCGGCTGCCTCCTGCAGGCTCCCCACTGGGCATCGAGCCGGCCACCCGAGCCTGCATGCCTGTGCCGGACGGGGAATCGAACCGTGGCCTCCTGGTTCCTAGGCCAACGCTCAGCCCTGGAGGGGGAAGAGGCAGAGGGCGGAGGTGGGGCGGCGGCAGGGCTCACCCCGCACCGCCTGGCCCTCAGGGTACGTGGACGTGGGCCAGATCCCGGCCGGCGCCCGGGAGATCCTGATCAAGGAGCTGGTCCCGTCGGGCAACTTCCTGGTGCTGCGGGGCCAGGACGCCGGCCGCCACCACCTCAACGGGCAGTGGAGCATCCGCCACCAGGGCGCCCACCCCATCGCCGGCACCGTCTTCACCTACGTGCGCGACGGCCACCTGGAGCGGCTCACCGCCCCCGGCCCCACCAACGAGTCCCTCTGGATCCAGGTGCCCCCCCCCGCCCCCTTTCCGGTCCCCCCGACTCCCGCCCCCCTTTCCAGTCCCCCCCGCCCCCCGCCCCCCTTTCCGGTCCCCCCCGCCCCTCTTTCCGTCCCCCCCGCCCCCCCATTCCGGGGCCCACACCCCACGCCCCCCTTTCCGGTCCCCCCCCGCCCCCCGGCCCCCCTTTCCGGTACCCCCCCGCCCCCCCATTCCGGGCCCCCCACACCCCCATCCCCCGCCCCCCCATTCCGGCGCCCCCCGTCATCCCCCGCCCCCTATTCCAGCTCCCCCCGCCCCCGACCCCCATTCCGGCCCCCCCACACCCCATCCCCGCCCCCCCATTCCGGCCTCCCACACCCCCACCCCCCGCCCCCCCATTCCGGCCACCCATTCCGGCCATCCCCCGCCCCCGCCCCCCCATTCCAGCCCCCCCGCCCCCTGCCCCCCATATTCCGGCCGCCCCCCGCCCCTCCCCGTCCCAGGCCCGGCTGGGGAATAGAGGTAAGGGGACCAGACGTCCCGCTTTGGGCGGGACAGTCCCGATTTTTTGTTGTTACCATTTTATTTTATTTTTATTTATTTTTAAAATATATTTTATTGATTTTTTTTGCAGAGAGGAAGGGAGAGAGAGATGGAGAGCTGGAAACATCAATGAGAGAGAGTCATTGACCAGCTGCCTCTTGCACACCCCCCACTGGGGATGTGCCCGCAACCAAAGTACATGCCCTTGACCGGAATCGAACCCGGGACCTTTCAGTCCGCAGGCCGACCGACGCTCTATCCGCTGAGCCACACCGGTTTCGGCAGAATTGGGACTTTTTTAAAACGCCGTGGGACGCGGGACAGATTGTTGAAAATCGGGACTGTCCCGCCAAAAGCGGGACGTCTGGTCCCCTTAGAATAGAGGCCGACTGCAAGGGACGCTGGCCTATGGGAAGTGTGAGGAAGAGGGGCTGCCTCAGTTTCCCCATCTCAAAAGTGGGTCCCGGGGGTGGCTGGGTGGGCGGAGAGGGTGCTGAGAGCTCACCGGCACCCCTGCCCCCCCCACCCCCCCAGATGCTGTTCTATGAGGCGAACCGCGGTCTGTACTACGAGTACACCATCCAGCGGGACGCCATCCCCCCTGGCGTGGCCACCGAGTTCTCCTGGGCCTACGGGGCCTGGACCGACTGCCCGGTCACCTGCGGCAAAGGTGAGGGCGGGGGCTGGCCCCCGGGCCTCCGTCCAGCTCGCCGTCATCGAGCCTGGGGCTCGGCGGCTCTGAGCCTCACTCTGCCCGTCTGTACAATGGGCCCGTCTCAGCGGGTCCCAGGGACGTGCATGCTACCGGGGGCGGTCGCCCCGTGGAGCTACGTGCACACGTCATCCTCAGAGGTAGCTGTTATTTTCTAATTTTTATCTATTTTTTTGCTATAT